ACCACTGGTCTTGAATGACGGAGTCCCGAAGGCAGCCATTGAAGAGGACAGTAGTCTAATGTGTGGTGAACTTGCAAGACAGTTCAACGTTTCCGATGAAACAGTTAGACTTCACTTGCACTGCTTAGGTAAGACGTACAAACTGAGCAAGTGGGTTCCGCAAACGCTGTTGGAGGTCCACAAGGGACAACGAGTGGCAGCCTGCGTATCGCTGCTTTTTCGCCACCGTACCGCATCCATATTCAATCGAGCGCTTACCAGTGATGACAAATGGGTTCTGTAGGAAACTCCCATGCGTTCCAGATATTTGTTGTCTCTTCAGGATGCTGTCCCTCACACCGCAAGACCGCCTATGCACCCACGCAAGGTTATGCTTTGTGTCTTGTGGACAAGTCGTCAAGTGGTTTATTATGAACTGCTACCAATGGGCCAAACGGTCACTGGAGACCTATACTCGCAGCAACTGAAACATGTGCAACAGGCATTGCACCAGAATGAGCCAGCACTGGTGAATCGCAAAGGTGTGCTTTTCCTCCATGACAACGCCAGGGCGCATGTCACGCGAGTGGTCAAGGATACCATACAGTAACTTGGGTGGGAGACTTTGTGCCATCCACCTTATTCACCTGACTTTGCGCCATCCGATTACTACCTCTTCCACTCCTTGAATAATCATCTTCGTGGGAAATCCTTCACCAATGAAGCAGACTTGCGCAAAGCCTTCACGGACTTCTTTGCGTCAACCCCCCCTCCAAGTTCTACCGCAAGGGCATTGAACAGCTGGAGACACGTTGGCAGAAGGTGCTGGATGCCGATGGCAATTACTTCGAAGACTAAATAAAAGTTACACATATTGTGAAGCATTTTCTTTTTTTCCTTTAAAAACGGATAGAACGTTTTTGGTTACCTTGTATGTATATGTACACACATTCATACTTCTAGAATCAATCATGCCTTTAGTTGATGCAGATGAAAAGAGTAATAATGCTTTGAGTTACACCACATTTGATGATGAGAAGTGTTCAATACCCAAATGACAAAGCAAAGCCTCATAGTAACTTAAAAACCAGGCAAATATTCACAACACATGGCTAAACAACCTTGCTTCCCTACATACCACTCCTGTGAGACTTTCATTTGTTGGGACCCATGAAGCTAGCATACATTGGACAATGGTTCTCCAATTGTGATAAGATGAAAGATGTAACTCGCACATGACTATGTACAGACATAAAAAGCTTCTATAATGTTGGTTTACATATCCCTTTACAAAGATGGAATACTATTAACAAGAAATAAAGAAACTACACTGATTAAAAGGTTTAGAATTCTGAACTCATTGCCTTCTGTGCTTCTACTAGTAAATCTGTTGTACTCAAAGAACTGACATTACTTTTTGACTAACCCTCATACCCTGATTGAGAAAGAAGGAAATTGAATCTTGTGGCTTTTGTGTTCATTTTGGTAGCCTTTGTACTTCTACTAATAAACAAATGTAATTATAAAAGCAGACATTACTTTTTAATCAACTTTTATATTAGCAAATATTTGTTCGTGCCTGAAAAATCAAACACCTTTAAATTGGCTAAATCAAAAAAGTGGTTAGCTGAAAATAATTATAAGGACCATTAAAAGAAATAGACGAATCGTTTGAGACAAAACAATTTTCATTAATTTTCAAAGATATCTCACTTTAATGTTTTCAGATGTCCTGTGTAAAAACTAACTTTTAAGACATATTCTTTAAAATAGTTGACCAAGAATTAAGGACATATTTCATTACTTTACAAAAATGGGATTAATGGGATTAAATGAGGAACTGATTCTGTGCTAAAAAGAATATTAACATAATGCTTTCAGCTGACATGAATTGGAATCAATTGCTAGGTCTACTTCAAGGAAAGTTGGTTCATTGTATCATGCTAAACAATTTTTCTCTGCAGAATCTATCTTCTACATTTACAAATCTACCATTCATCTATGAATTCAATATTACTGCCACATCTAGTCAAGTGTATTTAGAGATCCTTGATAAAATCTAAATACAAATATGCAATGTTATTGGTATTGACCTGGCATTTTGGTTTCAGTCACTTTCCCTCACTATAATATAACTTCCCAGTGCTATTTCTATAAATATTTTCATGGCAATAATTCTGACGTGTTTTCCTCTTCAGTACCTAAAGATTGGAGGCAAGATCTCATTCTTTACAGATGAAATGGCTAGATGTAACTGTAAGTTCTATACTAGCAGCTTCTTCTATCACACTTCTCACTCGTGGAACTCTCTTCTAACTTCTTGCTTCCCAGTTAACTTCCACCTTCAAAAATTTAAATTCAGTGTCAATCGTGATCTTTTGTCTTCTTAATCCCAGTTCATTTACTGTTATCTTGAATTAAAAATTCACATTTAGTAACTCTTTTTGTCTTAGTAGCTTTATTTCCTTGCTTGGAGTGAAATGATTAAAAAAAAAGAAAAGATAGATACAAAGAGACTGAATTAGATAGATAGATAGATAGATAGATAGATAGATAGATAGATAGATAGATATGAACGAACTGAAATAGATAGATACATATGAACAGACTGAAATAGATAGATAGATGCAAAGATACTGAGAGATAGATAGATAGATAGATAGATAGATAGATAGATAGATAGATAGATAGATAGATAATTTTCACACTTCCAAAATGAAACTGACATTTTTAAGTGTCTTAGAGAAACTCTTGCTTTCTGTCCATATGGCTGATGCCAATATCCAGGGGAATGAGCTCATTGAACCTTCTTAGGCTAAGTTTTTCCATTGACATGAAGTAGAAAGATTATATTGAATCAATTGCTAGGTCTACTGCTTGGAAAGTTGGCTCATTGTGTCATGTCTTCAGAATTTTTCTAGCATATTTATAAGTCTACCATTCATCCATGCATTCAATATTTCAGGCATACTTGATGTAGTGCTTCTGCTAAGTATTTAGATATTCTTGATAAAATCTGAAGAAGATTTTGCAATGTTATCAGTTCTGACCTGGCACCTTGACTTCAGGCACTTGCAATGTAGCTCCTCTGAAATTTTTTATAAATAATTTCATGCTAATTGTTCTAATAAGCTTTCCTCTTTGGTATCTAGACTTTGAATTTAAGTGCAGTACAAGATTGGCAGCAAGTTCTCAACATCTTACAGTTGGCTACATGTAATCGTAAGTTCTATGCTAACAATTTCTTCTCTCATACTTCTTATTTATAGGACATTTTTCTGGCTTCTTGCTTTCAAGTCAACTTTGACCTTCAAAAATTTAAATCCAATGACAATTGTTATCTTCTGTTCACTTAATTCCAGGTCGTTTATTGTTCTCTCTCCTAAATAATGTGTTTTCTTATACTGTCATGAACTAACAAATAGTTCTTCCTTCAAATGATGACACTGTATCCCCATTAGGCAAACAATTCTTCTTTCAAATGATCATGGTGTACACCCTGTAATGCAAGTGGTTCTTCTTTCAAATGATCACAATGTATCCATTTTAAAGGAAAATGTTCTTCCTTCAAATGATCACGCTATATCCCCATTAAGCAAGCAGTTCTTTCTTCAAATGATAAAGATGTATCCCCGTTAAAGCAAACAATTCTTTTTTCAAATGATGTCATTGTATTCGCTTAAAGCAAACAGTTTTTCCTTCAAATGATGACGCTGTATCCCCTTTAAAGCAAGTGGTTCTTCTTTCAAATGATGACATATCTTCTTTAAAGCAATCAGTTCTTCTTTCAAATGATCATACTGCATCCACTTTAAAGCAAAAAGTTCTTCTTTGAAATGATCATACTGCATCCCTTTAAAACAACCAGTTCTTCTTTCAAATGATCATACTGCATCCCCTTTAAAACAAACAGTTCTTCTTTCAAATGATCATACTGCATCCTCTTTAAAACAAACAGTTCTTCTTTCAAATGATCATACTGCATCCCTTTAAAACAAACAGTTCTTCTTTCAAATGATCATATACTAAAACAAACAGTTCCAAATGATCTTTAAAACAAACAGTTCTTCTTTCAAATGATCATACTGCATCCTCTTTAAAACAAACAGTTCTTCTTTCAAATGATCATACTGCATCCCCTTTAAAACAAACAGTTCTTCTTTCAAATGATCATACTGCATCCCTTTAAAACAAACAGTTCTTTTTTTCAAATAATCATACTGCATCCCCTTTAAAACAAACAGTTCTTTCAAATTTCAAATAAAACAATCATTTTCAAATGCATCCCCTTTAAAACAAACAGTTCTTCTTTCAAATGATCATACTGCATCCCCTTTAAAACAAACAGTTCTTCTTTCAAATGATCATACTGCATTTTTAAAACAAACAGTTCTTCTTTCAAATGATCATACTGCATCCCCTTTAAAACAAACAGTTCTTCTTTCAAATGATCATACTGCATCCCTTTTAAAACAAACAGTTTCTTTCAAATGATTTTAAAAACAAAGTTCTTCTTTCAAATGACTGCATCCCCTTTAAAACAAACAGTTCTTTCTTTTCAAATGATCATACTGCATCCCCTTTAAAACAAACAGTTCTTCTTTCAAATGATCATACTGCATCCCTCTTTAAAACAAACAGTTCTTCTTTCAAATGATCATACTGCATCCCCTTTAAAGCAAACAGTTCTTCTTTCAAATGATCATACTGCATCCTTTTAAAAAAACAGTTCTTCTTTCAAATGATCATACTGCATCCCTTTTAAAACAAACAGTTCTTCTTTTCAAATGATCATACTGCATCCCCTTTAAAACAAACAGTTCTTCTTTCAAATGATCATACTGCATCCCCTTAAAAAACTGTTCAAAATGTTCTTCTTCTTTCAAATGATCATACTGCATCCCCTTTAAAACAAACAGTTCTTCTTTCAAATGATTACGCTGCATCCCCTTTAAAACAAACAGGTCTTCTTTCAAATGATCATACTGCATCCCCTTTAAAACAAACTGTTCTTCTTTCAAATGATCATCCCCTTTAAAGCATCCTTCTTTCAAATGAAACAAACAGTTCTTCTTTCAAATGATCATACTGCATCCCCTTTAAAACAAACAGTTCTTCTTTCAAATGATTACGCTGCATCCCCTTTAAAACAAACAGGTCTTCTTTCAAATGATCATACTGCATCCCCTTTAAAACAAACTGTTCTTCTTTCAAATGATCATACTGCATCCCCTTTAAAGCAAACAGTTCTTCTTTCAAATGATCATACTGCATCCCCTTTAAAACAAACAGTTCTTCTTTCAAATGATCATACTGCATCCCCTTTAAAACTTTAAAAACAGTTCTTCTTTCAAATGATCATACTGCATCCCCTTTAAAACAAACAGTTCTTCTTTCAAATGATCATACTGCATCCCCTTTAAAACAAAGTTTTCTTTCAAATAGTTCTTTAAAGCAACCAGTTCTTCTTTTCAAATGATTATACTGCATCCCTTTAAAAAACAAACAGTTCTTCTTTCAAATGATCATACTGCATCCCTTTTAAAACAAACAGTTCTTCTTTCAAATGATCATACTGCATCCCTTTAAAACAAACAGTTCTTCTTTCAAATGATCATACTGCATCCCTTTAAAACAAACAGTTCTTCTTTCAAATGATCATACTGCATCCCTTTAAAACAAACAGTTCTTCTTTCAAATGATTAAAACTGCATCTTCTTTAAAACAAACAGTTCTTCTTTTCAAATGATCATACTGCATCCCCTTTAAAACAAACAGTTCTTCTTTCAAATGATCATACTGCATCCTTTTTAAAACAAACAGTTCTTCTTTCAAATGATCATACTGCATCCCCTTTAAAACAAACAGTTCTTCTTTCAAATGATTATACTGCATCCCTTTAAAACAAAAGGTCTTCTTTCAAACAGTTCTTAAACAAACTGTTCTTCTTTCAAATGATCATACTGCATCCCCTTTAAAACAAACAGTTCTTCTTTCAAATGATCATACTGCATCCCCTTTAAAACAAACAGTTCTTTCTTTCAAATGATCATACTGCATCCCCTTTAAAACAAACAGTTCTTCTTTCAAATGATCATACTGCATCCCCTTTAAAACAAACAGTTCTTCTTTCAAATGATCATACTGCATCCCCTTTAAAACAAACAGTTCTTCTTTCAAATGATCATACTGCATCCCCTTTAAAACAAACAGTTCTTCTTTCAAATGATCATACTGCATCCCCTTTAAAACAAACAGTTCTTCTTTCAAATGATCATACTGCATCCTCTTTAAAACAAACAGTTCTTCTTTCAAATGATCATACTGCATCCCCTTTAAAACAAACAGTTCTTCTTTCAAATGATCATACTGCATCCCCTTTAAAACAAACAGTTCTTCTTTCAAATGATTATGCTGCATCCCCTTTAAAACAAACAGGTCTTCTTTCAAATGATCATACTGCATCCCCTTTAAAACAAACAGTTCTTCTTTCAAATGATCATACTGCATCCCCTTTAAAACAAACAGTTCTTCTTTCAAATGATCATACTGCATCCCCTTTAAAACAAACAGTTCTTCTTTCAAATGATTATACTGCATCCCTTTAAAACAAACAGTTCTTCTTTCAAATGATCATTAAACTGCATCTTCTTTAAAATCAAACTGTTCTTCTTTCAAATGATCATACTGCATCCCCTTTAAAGCAAACAGTTCTTCTTTCAAATGATCATATGCATCCCCTTTTAAAAAACAAACAGTTCTTCTTTCAATGATCATACTGCATCCCTTTAAAACAAACAGTTCTTCTTTCAAATGATCATACTGCATCCCTTTAAAACAAACAGTTCTTCTTTCAAATGATTATACTGCATCCCTTTAAAACAAACAGTTCTTCTTTCAAATGATCATACTGCATCCTCTTTCCAGTTCTTTTTTCAAAAACAAACAGTTCTTCTTTCTTTTTCAAAAATGATCATCCCCTTTGCAATCATCCTTTTCTTTGCAAAAAAAACAGTTCTTCTTTCAAATGATCATACTGCATCCCCTTTAAAACAAACAGTTCTTCTTTCAAATAATCATACTGCATCCCTTTTAAAACAAACAGTTCTTCTTTCAAATGATCATACTGCATCCCCTTTAAAACAAACAGTTCTTCTTTCAAATGATCATACTGCATCCCTTTAAAACAAACAGTTCTTCTTTCAAATGATCATACTGCATCCCTTTAAAACAAAAACAGTTCTTCTTTCAAATGATCATACTGCATCCTTTTTAAAACAAACAGTTCTTTCTTTCAAATAATAGGCTGCATCCCTTTAAAACAATCAGTTCTTCTTTCAAATGATCATACTGCATCCCTTTAAAGCAAATGATCAGTTCTTTTTCAAATGATCATACTGCATCCCTTTAAAACAAACAACAAATGAGTCCCCTTTAAACAAAAGTTCTTTTCAAATGATCATACTGCATCCCATTTAAAACAAAACAGTTCTTCTTTTAAATGATCATACTGCATCCCCTTTAAAACATCAGTTCTTCTTTCAAATAATCATACTGCATCCCCTTTAAAACAAACAGTTCTTCTTTCAAATGATCATACTGCATCCCCTTTAAAACAGTTCTTCTTTCAAATGATCATACTGCATCCCTTTAAAACAAAACAGTTCTTCTTTCAAATGATCATACTGCATCCCTTTAAAGCAAACAGTTCTTCTTTCAAATGCATCCCAAAACAAACAGTTCTTCATCCCCTTTAAAACAAACAGTTCTTCTTTTCAAATGATCATACTGCATCCCCTTTAAAACAAACAGTTCTTTTTCAAATGATCATACTGCATCCCCTTTAAAACAAACAGTTCTTCTTTCAAATGATCATACTGCATCCCCTTTAAAACAAACAGTTCTTCTTTCAAATGATCATGCTGCATCCCTTTAAACAAACAGTTCTTCTTTCAAATGATTATACTGCATCCCTTTAAAACAAACAGTTCTTCTTTCAAATGATCATACTGCATCCCTTTAAAACAAACAGTTCTTCTTTCAAATGATTATGCTGCATCCCCTTTAAAACAAACAGTTCTTCTTTCAAATAATCATACTGCATCCCCTTTAAAACAAATCAGTTCTTCTTTCAAATGATCATACTGCATCCCCCTTTAAAACAAAATTCAGTTCTTTTTCAAATGATTATGCTGCATCCTCTTTAAAACAAACAGGTCTTCTTTCAAATGATCATACTGCATCCCCTTTAAAACAAACAGTTCTTCTTTCAAAATAATCTTTAAACAAACTTTCAAATAATCCCATTTAAAGCAATCAGTTCTTCTTTCAAATGAGTATGCTGCATCCCCTTTAAAACAAACAGTTCTTCTTTCAAATGATCATACTGCATCCCCTTTAAAACAACCAGTTCTTCTTTCAAATGATCATACTGCATGCCCTTTAAAAGTCTTCTTTCAAAAAAAAGTTCTTCTTTCAAATGATCATGCTGCATCCCCTTTAAAACAAACAGTTCTTCTTTCAAATGATTATGCTGCATCCCCTTTAAAGCAATCAGTTCTTCTTTCAAATGATTATGCTGCATCCCCTTTAAAACAAACAGTTCTTCTTTCAAATGATCATACTGCATCCCCTTTAAAACAAACAGTTCTTCTTTCAAATGATCATACTGCATCCCCTTTAAAACAAACAGTTCTTCTTTCAAATGATCATACTGCATCCCCTTTAAAACAAACAGTTCTTCTTTCAAATGATCATACTGCATCCCCTTTAAAACAAACAGTTCTTCTTTCAAATGATCATACTGCATCCCCTTTAAAACAAACAGTTCTTCTTTCAAATGAGTTCATACTGCATGATCCCTTTAAAATAAAGTTCTTCTTTCAAATAATCATACTGCATCCCCTTTAAAACAAACAGTTCTTCTTTCAAATGATCATACTGCATCCCCTTTAAAACAAACAGTTCTTCTTTCAAATGATCATACTGCATCCCCTTTAAAACAAACAGTTCTTCTTTCAAATGATCATACTGCATCCCCTTTAAAACAAACAGTTCTTCTTCAAATGATCAAATGCATCCTCTTTAAAACAAACAGTTCTTCTTTCAAATGATCATCCATCCCTTTAAAACAAACAGGTCTTCTTTCAAATGATCATACTGCATCCCCTTTAAAACAAACAGTTCTTCTTTCAAATGATCATACTGCATCCTCTTTAAAACAAACAGGTCTTCTTTCAAATGGTCATACTGCATCCCCTTAAAAAAAACAGTTCTTCTTTCAAATAATCATACTGCATCCTCTTTAAAACAAACAGTTCTTCTTTCAAATGATTATACTGCATCCACTTTAAAACAAACAGTTCTTCTTTCAAATGATTATGCTGCATCCCTTTAAAACAAACAGTTCTTCTTTTCAAATAATCATACTGCATCCCCTTTAAAACAAAAGTTCTTCTTTCAAATGATCATACTGCATCCCCTTTAAAACAAACAGTTCTTTCAAATGATCATACTGCATCCCTTTAAAAAAACAGTTCTTCTTTCAAATGATCATACTGCATCCCCTTTAAAGCAATCAGTTCTTCTTTCAAATAATCATACTGCATCCCCTTTAAAGCAATCAGTTCTTCTTTCAAATGATCATACTGCATCCCCTTTAAAACAAACAGTTCTTCTTTCAAATGATCATACTGCATCCCCTTTTAAAACAAACAGTTCTTCTTTCAAATGATCATACTGCATCCCCTTTAAAACAAACAGTTCTTCTTTCAAATGATTATACTGCATCCCCTTTAAAACAAACAGTTCTTCTTTCAAATGATTATGCATCCCCTTTAAAACAAACAGTTCTTCTTTCAAATGATCATACTGCATCCCCTTTAAAACAAACAGTTCTTCTTTCAAATGATCATATTGCATCCCTTTAAAACAAACAGTTCTTCTTTCAAATGATCATACTGCATCCTCTTTAAAACAAACAGTTCTTCTTTCAAATGATCATACTTCTTCTTTTCAGTTCTTCTTTCAGTTCATACTGCATCCCCCTTTAAAACAAAATTCTTCTTTCATACTGCATCCCCTTTAAAACAAACAGTTCTTCTTTCAAATGATCATACTGCATCCCCTTTAAAACAAACAGTTCTTCTTTCAAATGATCATATTGCATCCCTTTAAAACAATCAGTTCTTCTTTCAAATGATCATACTGCATCCCCTTTAAAACAAACAGTTCTTCTTTCAAATGATCATACTGCATCCCTTTAAAACAAACAGTTCTTCTTTCAAATGATCATACTGCATCCCTTTAAAACAAACAGTTCTTTCTTTCAAATGATCATACTGCATCCCCTTTAAAACAACCAGTTCTTCTTTCAAATGATCATACTGCATCCCCTTTAAAACAAACAGTTCTTCTTTCAAATGATCATACTGCATCCCCTTTAAAACAAACAGTTCTTCTTTCAAATGATCATATTGCATCCCCTTTAAAACAAACAGTTCTTCTTTCAAATGATCATACTGCATCCCCTTTAAAGCAATCAGTTCTTCTTTCAAATGATTATGCTGCATCCCATTTAAAGCAAACAGTTCTTCTTTCAAATGATCATACTGCATCCCCATTTTTCTTTTCAAATAAAATACAAACCCTTTTCAAACAGTTCTTCTTTCAAATAATCATACTGCATCCCCTTTAAAGCAATCAGTTCTTCTTTCAAATGATTATACTGCATCCCCTTTAAAACAAACAGTTCTTCTTTCAAATGATCATACTGCATCCCCTTTAAAACAAACAGTTCTTCTTTCAAATGATCATACTGCATCCTCTTTTAAAACAAGCTTTCAAAGTTCTTCTTTCAAATGATCATACTGCATCCCCTTTAAAACAAACAGTTTCTTCTTTTTCAAATGATCATGCACTGCAGTCCTTCTTTTTTCAAATTATGCTGCATCCCCTTTAAAACAAAGTTCTTCTTTCAAATGATTATACTGCATCCCCTTTAAAACAAACAGTTCTTCTTTCAAATGATTATACTGCATCCCTTTTTAAAACAAACAGTTCTTTTTTTTCAAATTCTGCATCCCCCTTTAAAAAATGATCATACTGCATCCCTTTAAAACAATCAGTTCTTCTTTCAAATGGGTATACTGCATCCCCTTTAAAACAAACAGTTCTTCTTTCAAATGATCATACTGCATCCCCTTTAAAACAAACAGTTCTTCTTTCAAATGATCATACTGCATCCCCTTTAAAACAAAGTTCTTCTTTCTTTTTAAAAACAATCAGTTCTTCTTTCAAATGATCATACTGCATCCCCTAAAAACAAACAGTTCTTCTTTCAAATAATCATACTGCATCCCTTTAAAACAAACAGTTCTTCTTTCAAATGATCATACTGCATGCCCTTTAAAACAAACAGTTCTTCTTTCAAATGATCATACTGCATCCCCTTTAAAACAAACAGTTCTTCTTTCAAATGATCATACTGCATCCCCTTTAAAACAAACAGTTCTTCTTTTCAAATGATCATACTGCACTGCATCCTTTTAAAACAAACAGTTCTTCTTTCAAACAGTCATACTGCATCCCTTTAAAACAAACAGTTCTTCTTTCAAATGATCATACTGCATCCTCTTTAAAACAAACAGGTCTTCTTTCAAATGATCATACTGCATCCCCTTTAAAACAAACAGTTCTTCTTTCAAATGATCATACTGCATCCTCTTTAAAACAAACAGGTCTTCTTTCAAATGATCATACTGCATCCCCTTTAAAAAAAACAGTTCTTCTTTCAAATGATCATACTGCATCCCTTTAAAACAAACAGGTCTTCTTTCAAATGTTCATACTGCATCCCCTTTAAAACAAACAGTTCTTCTTTCAAATGATCATACTGCATCCCTTTTAAAACAAACAGTTCTTCTTTTCAAATGATCATACTGCATCCCCTTTAAAACAAACAGTTCTTCTTTCAAATGATCATACTGCATCCCCTTTAAAACAAACAGTTCTTCTTTCAAATGATCATACTGCATCCTTTAAAACAAACAGTTCTTCTTTCAAATGATCATACTTGCATCCCTTTTTAAAACAAACAGGTTCTTCTTTCAAATGATCATACTGCATCCCCTTTAAAAAAACAGTTCTTCTTTCAAATAATCATACTGCAACCCCTTTTAAAATCCCCTTTAAAACAGTTCTTTCTTTCAAATGATTATGCTGCATCCCCTTTAAAAAACAAACAGTTCTTCTTTTCAAATGATCATACTGCATCCCTTAAAACAATCAGTTCTTCTTTCAAATGATCATACTGCATCCCTTTAAAACAAACAGTTCTTCTTTCAAATGAATCTGCATCCTTTTAAAAAAACAGTTCTTCTTTCAAAATCATGCATCCCTTTAAAAGCAATCAGTTCTTCTTTCAAATGATTATGCTGCATCCCCTTTAAAACAAAACAGTTCTTCTTTCAAATGATCATGCTGCATCCCCTTTAAAACAAACAGTTCTTCTTTCAAATGATCATACTGCATCCCCTTTAAAACAATCAGTTCTTCTTTCAAATGATCATAATGCATCCCTCTTTAAAACAAACAGTTCTTCTTTCAAATGATCATACTGCATCCCCTTTAAAACAAACAGTTCTTCTTTCAAATGATCATACTGCATCCCCTTTAAAACAAACAGTTCTTCTTTCAAATGATCATGCTGCATCCCTTTAAAACAAACAGTTCTTTTCTTTCAAATGATCATAATAATCATCCCTTTAAAAACAAAGTTCTTCTTTTCAAATGATCATACTTCCTCCTTTAAAACAAAGTTCTTCTTTCAAATATCATACTGCATCCCTTTAAAACAAACAGTTCTTCTTTCAAATGATCATACTGCATCCCTTTAAAACAAACAGTTCTTCTTTCAAATGATCATACTGCATCCTCTTTAAAACAAACAGTTCTTCTTTCAAAAATCATACTGCATCCCCTTTAAAAAATCAGTTCTTCTTTCAAAAACATCCTCTTTAAAAAAACAGTTCTTCTTTCAAATGATCATACTGCATCCCTTTAAAACAAACAGTTCTTCTTTCAAATGATCATACTGCATCCCCTTTAAAACAAACAGTTCTTCTTTCAAATGATCATACTGCATCCCTTTAAAACAAACAGTTCTTCTTTCAAATGATCATACTGCATCCCTTTAAAACAAACAGTTCTTCTTTCAAATGATCATACTGCATCCCCTTTAAAAAACAGTTCTTCTTTCAAATGATTTCTTTCAAACAAACATATTTCAAATGCATCCCCTTTAAAACAAACAGTTCTTCTTTCAAAATGATCATAATCTGCATCCCCTTTAAAACAAACAGTTCTTCTTTCAAATAATCATGCTGCATCCCCTTTAAAACAAAACAGTTCTTCTTTCAAATGATCATACTGCATCCCCTTTAAAACAAACAGTTCTTCTTTTCAAATGATCATCATCCCCTTTAAATTGCAGTTCTTCTTTCAAAAATCCAAACAGTTCTTCTTTCAAATGATACTGCATCCCTTTAAAGCAATCAGTTCTTCTTTCAAAAATGATCATACTCGAAAACAATCAGTTCTTTTAAAACCAATCAGTTCTTCTTTCAAATGATTATCTTTTAAAAAAAACAGTTCTTCTTTCAAATGATCATACTGCATCCCTTTTAAAACAAACAGTTCTTCTTTCAAATGATCATACTGCATCCTTTCAAAAAACAAACAGTTCTTCTTTCAAATGATCATACTGCATCCCTTTAAAACAAACAGTTCTTCTTTCAAATGATCATACTGCATCCCCTTTAAAACAAAGTTCTTCTTTCAAATAATCATATTGCATCCCCTTTAAAGCAATCAGTTCTTCTTTCAAATGATTATGCTGCATCCCCTTTAAAGCAATCAGTTCTTCTTTCAAATGATTATGCTGCATCCCCTTTAAAACAAACAGTTCTTTTTTTCAAATGATCATATTTGCATCCCCTTTTAAACAAACAGTTCTTCTTTCAAATGATCATACTGCATCCCTTTAAAACAAACAGTTCTTCTTTCAAATGATCATACTGCATCCCCTTTTAAAACAAACAGTTCTTCTTTCAAATGATCATACTGCATCCCCTTTAAAACAAACAGTTCTTCTTTCAAATGATCATACTGCATCCCCTTTAAAACAAACAGTTCTTCTTTCAAATGATTATACTGCATCCCCTTTAAAACAAACAGTTCTTCTTTTCAAATGATCATACTGCATCCCCTTTAAAACAAAAATGATCATACTGCATCCCTTTAAAACAAACAGTTCTTCTTTCAAATGATTATACTGCATCCCTTTAAAACAAACAGTTCTTCTTTCAAATGATCATACTGCATCCCCTTTAAAACAAACAGTTCTTCTTTCAAATGATCATACTGCACTTTAAAACAAACAGTTCTTCTTTCAAAAAATCTTTAAAACAAACAGTTCTTCTTTCAAATGATCATACTGCATCCCCTTTTAAAACAAACAGTTCTTCTTTCAAATGATCATACTGCATCCCCTTTAAAACAAACAGTTCTTCTTTCAAATGATCATACTGCATCCTCTTTAAAACAAACAGTTCTTCTTTCAAATGATCATATTGCATCCTCTTTAAAACAAACAGTTCTTCTTTCAAATGATCATACTGCATCCCCTTTAAAACAAACAGTTCTTCTTTCAAATGATCATACTGCATCTTTTAAAGCAAACAGTTCTTCTTTCAAATGATCATACTGCATCCTCTTTAAAACAAACAGTTCTTCTTTCAAATGATCATACTGCATCCCCTTTAAAACAAACAGTTCTTCTTTCAAATGATCATACTGCATCCCCTTTAAAACAAACAGTTCTTCTTTCAAAAAACAATCGTTTAAAACAAGTTCTTCTTTCAAATGATCATACTGCATCCCCTTTAAAACAAACAGTTCTTCTTTCAAATGATCATACTGCATCCCTTTAAAACAAACAGTTCTTCTTTCAAATGATCATACTGCATCCCCTTTAAAACAAACAGTTCTTCTTTCAAATGATCATTTAAAACAAACAGTTCTTCTTTCTGCAACCTCTTCAACTTCTTTCAAATGATCATACTGCATCCCCTTTAAAATAAAGTTCTTCTTTCAAATAATCATACTGCATCCCCTTTAAAGCAATCAGTTCTTCTTTCAAATGATTATGCTGCATCCCCTTTAAAACAAACAGTTCTTCTTTCAAATGATCATACTGCATCCCCTTTAAAACAAACAGTTCTTCTTTCAAATGATCATACTGCATAAAACCAGTTCTTTTTCAAAAAACAAACAGTTCTTCTTTCAAATGATCATACTGCATCCCCTTTAAAGCAATCAGTTCTTCTTTCAAATGATCATACTGCATCCTCTTTAAAACAAACAGGTCTTCTTTCAAATGATCATATTGCATCCTTTAAAACAAACAGTTCCTTTCAAAAAAAAATCAGTTCTTCTTTCAAATGATTATGCTGCATCCCTTTAAAACAAACACTTCTTCTTTCAAATGATCATACTGCATCCCTTTAAAACAAACAGTTCTTCTTTCAAATGATCATACTGCATCCCTTTAAAAAAACAGTTCTTCTTTCAAATAATCATACTGCATCCCCTTTAAAGCAAACAGTTCTTCTTTCAAATGATGCATCCCCTTTGCAT